TGTGTTTTTTTTATCGTGAACATTGTAAGGAATTGTGTTATCACATCGTATGGTAATCAGTGTACAACCACAATTTTACTATGTATTTCTTCCAAAGTAATTAATTCAACAATTTCACTGTTACGCGGTATCAAATAAAGCCATTTGGGGTTGTATAGAATCTTAAATTGAAAATTATATCGTCGGGAATAGTGCAAGTCTGCGTATGTAGTATTGGTAAAAGACGCGTATCTGTATAACGTTAGTTTGTTATTTCTATAGCTACGACTTCATTTTTGCACAGGAAGCATTATATTATGTTATCTAGGACTGATAACAATAGACTCCAGTAAGTCATGCTAATTTGATTATCACTAGTATCAGGTTTCTTACCACGGTATGACTTCTTTTTATTTTCCCGATATTTCGGAACGGTTGCACGCTCCATGGTCACGGGTTGACTGATATGTCAAAGCTCCATGGTCACTAGTGATAATCATTTAGTGAATAACCACGAGTCTTAAAGTCTACATGCTAATTTGGTTGTTACAACATATACGCAAATTTTTGGGCACTAAATTACTGAAATGGAAACTCATAATCGAATTTGTCTACCTCTAGACCAAAGTTCATTAAATTTGGGTCAACGGTTCAAGCGTGAAAACAAAACCGATAGTTATTTTCGCATTTACAATATTAGTTTGGATTATTTATAATACATACATAAGCAGAAACCACGGAAGGCCACCTTACTGACGTCGAAACCTCTAGATTGGTTTACTTCAGCTACTTTCACAGTCTAATGACATACGGCATTTTGCTTTGGTGTAATGCCGCCGATATCAATAGAATCTTTTTCCTGCAGAAACGTGCAGTTAGGGCAATTTACAATCTGGGCCCCAAAGTATCTTTGAGAGATAAGTTTAAGGAAATTAACATTCTTACACTAGCCTCACAGTACATTTATGAAAATGTAATTTATGTTAAAAGGAATACTAATTTATTTATGAAAAATAGTGACAGACATAACATTAATACGAGGAATAGAAATAAACTAGCTTTTCTTGATAGTCGTCTTCACAAAGACAAAAAATCATTTAAGGGGCAATGTATACGCTTCTATAACAAGATTCCGGTTGATATACAAAATTTGCCTTTCACGAGGTTTAAAACTATAGTGAAACAAAAACTTTATACTAAAGGTTATTATACGACTTCTGCGTACTTGGATGACAAAAATCCGTGGTAGTAACCCGTTTAGCTCATGGAGGTAGTCTCGATCTCTGATGTTTCAAATAAAAAAAACATTGTAAATGTTATTTACAAAGAGCAACCCCTAGAGTTTCTTGCTCATTCAATCTACCTTACGAATGAGCGGTAGAGTTGACCATTGTGACGATTTCTAGTGTAATAATGCTTACCTATGAAATAAAGATTAATTTGAATTTGAATTTTGAATTTGAATTTGAATACTCTATCCTGACAACTTTCAGGTCTCACATCTACATGCCCAAACCACCAACATTTCTCTATTCTAGTCATCACATCCTCTTTCAAGCCACATCTTTTACGTATTATTGTATTCTTCACTATATCGCTCAACGTTATACCACAACTTTTTCTCAATCGCTCTCATTTCCATTTAGTTTATATAGGTATTATTACATACTTTGGATTATAACAAACAAGTCAAAAAAATAATGATCAAAAACTATTATGCCGTTTTAAACTGGTATAAGTACTATGAGTAATTTCCGTAAGTGCTTGTACAAAATTTAAAATTGATGAACCGGGAATAATTATTATTCGATTATAATAATTTTATATTCTAGCCCTCTATGAATAAAAAAGGTGTCCAGGAAGATAATACTCTCACCTACATCATACTGTTGCTGCAGCCGTCGTCGACACAAAGCATACTTCATACTTTATTTTTTTATTTATTTATTTATGATCAGGTTACAAAGACCCATAAATACATACCTTCTAGACTAACATACAAACACTAATTACTAATTATTAACAGTTATAGTCTGCTACGTGTGACGCAACTTGGGTGTTCGGTAGCCGGCCTCGGAAACGACGGTACCTGACACGCTTCAGCGAAAACTCTCCTTCATGAAGGTCGACAGATGTTGAGTTGGTACTCTCACGACAAACAAATTAAAATTCACATTGTGACCTGCTGGGCCTTCAGGGCAGCTTTCATCCGTATGTACTCCACAATATCCGCAAACTTTGTGGAGTAATGAAGTCGGAACATATAGCAACGTCGGCGGTACTACTAGACGCAGTAAATGGTTAGGGCCAGTTAGGCGGTACCACTAAGGTTACGGCTGGTGTACTTCTTTTTTTTTCTTTAGAATGAAGTTACAAAACACCCGGTCTCTTGCTGCCAAAATCTAGCGAGAAATACATGGCGACTTATAAGTATTCCATATTGCGGTAAACAGAAAAGTACGAGACTTTCTCACAAAAATGTCTTGAGCTTCGCCGGCGGTTCATAACGTCTATTCGTTTGCAACAATCAAATTTCATAATAGAGGGTTATATCATAAATATCACAAAAACAGCAATAATTGTGTTACACAAAATGTTTATTCGCCGCTTACACAAAAATACACAAGTTACACTCAGTTATAACGCTAAAGGAAACAAATCACAGATAAATACAGAAAACAATATACTGTATCTAAGAGACTGCAAATTGATGTAAATTTTGTGCAATACTAATCTTAAATATATAAAATGCATCGTCACAATAAATGTAATGGCACCGACAAGAACAGATATTTCAATGAAAATACAATACATGTACAAAAGGAAAATACTGGAAATATATTCTGAATAGTGCGAGGGACAGAAAATACACGTTGCAGAGATTAAGATACTGTGATGGGCCAATGGAATAAACCGTTAGAAAAAAATATGCCACAAACCGAATCGAAGAACATATGACAAGTAAAGTAGCGGCCATTACGGAGGCAGAGATACTTGAAGTCTTGGGCTAAATCTATCCACAAGGACTAAAAACTGTGTATAATTCTTGTGACCGCCTTAAATATCCAAGAATAGCGTCAATATGTTAGCGCTAGGAGCGCTAGAGTCCCATACAACTGATAAATAAGCAGAGTGATTATGATGAATTTTGAATATAACAGATATTATGAAATTGATGCAATAAAATCATTAAGATTATGAAGTCTCTTCAGGTACAGCGTATTGTGATAATTAATAGCTAGAAATATAAAAATAAAATATACATTTTGATGACGGTAAAATTGATAAAAATAAAATCACAGGTTTAGTAAAACGTAAATTTATATCACAACTAAATTAAGAACTGGAAATTGCCAATGTTTTACTGACTAACTCGAGGTAAGTATTATAATGATAAGAAGTACTTAGGTACTTTACGAAATAGACACGGCGACGTCGATTTCAACTACGCTAAAATTTTCATTTACGAATCGATTAGGCCGACGCACTTGACATTGTGTCTCATGAATATTAGTTGTTAATTTATGTTATAAAAAGTTTTTTATGCCAATTGTTATCTACCATTCCACTTATATCACAGCATTCCTAAATTTTAAACGCTTAATTTTACTTGGAAATTTACGTTTTCCATCTCTATCATAAGGTGTCCCTCAAGGCACACACTTAGCACTCCTCTTTTATATATTATTTTTGCAATTTTGAAAAGAGTTAAAAATACGTTAGAAAATACTTAAAATAATAATTTAAATAATATTGGTAAGAGTCAGTCATTACTAGTCTTTTTTATAATCTAAAGAGTTAAATACTATTCTCAACAATTTAGTGAGAAAGAAAAATAAACGTATCTAATATAGAGTAAATTATAAAAAATAACAAATCTCACAACGTAATTTGAACAAAGCAAGGAAAAAAGAGCTTCTTTTAAAGTTTTTAGAAAAATAGACATCGACACATTGAAACTTGTATAATTGTAAACTACATATAAAACGATAACTGTATCAAACAGTAGCAGAAAGCTCATCATAGACTGGTTGATTAGTGTAATCAAAGCGTATGAAAAATACTAACAGGCTACTTAAACCTCGGCTACAATACATGTAAATTTAATCTGGTCTTTGTTGTGATAGTACCATAACCTACACCTGAACTTTTTGCTAAAGTCACGCGTGAAACAGCTATCGTCTTTAAAGTACTATCTACTAGTGGTTTCTATTTGGGATATCCCAACTACGATTCCAAAATTCCTGTTTATATTTTCGCTACTAATTTCTGTTTAGCAGGAGTTGACAAATTTTATGGAAACATAATATATCTCAGTGTCCTACAAACATATCAAATCTTACTAACTAATTAAATGCACAGACATTGTCGCTGACCGAGTTCCAGAAGTTTAAACTCAAGATCTGCCAGAGGGCGATGGAACGTAGCATTCTGGGCTTTAAACGTATTGACCGAGTACGCAATACAATACTGTATTCGATGACTGGCATTGCTAATGTGGGGAGCAAAATAGCCCGGCTCAAATGGAATTGGGCGGGACACGTTAGCCGGATGCAACCCTAGAAGTGGGCGAACGTCGTCACTCCTTGGGTGTCCGAGGATGGATAGAGAAGGCTTGGACGGCCGAGAAAGCGTTGACCGACTAATTAATTTATTTATTGCAACGTGCAAAACATTTTTTCGTTCTATTCAAAAATAAGAAAAATTGAAGGCGTGTAAATGTTGCACTTGTTATCTTGTGCAAATTTATGAATTCTTTCAACTCTATCAACTCGCGCCAAACAGAGTAATAAAATGGCAAAAAGTAACATTTAACACAGATTTTTACACAACATTGCTGCAATACTACTTGCTTGATATATGAAGCGTTCACATTAAATTGAATCTACAAAAATGCTTCTAGAGGGTTTCTTAAGGCTGGAGAGGATTTCTAATTTTGATATAATAACGCCGCCATTTCGGGGTCCAAATATCATCTCTCAGCCTTAATATAGTTAGATCCCAAGTGATGTACTACTATGTGATCTGTCTTGAGTGTTTCATGAACATTTTGATATATAATTTTAGGATTACATTTATTTCTCATCTCACACTTTTGAATAGTTTTAGAAACCCTCAAAAATACGGAGCAAAATAACCTACACGACAATATGTAAAATTGACACATTTGTAGATAAACGCGATAAAGCGGTTGGCACGACGTTCAGATTTTTAATACGATGTACTATTTTGATGTTGTTTCTCATAAAATTGGCCAATTAGACTTCTTTGCTTAATGGCTTTTGGAAATTCGCAGAGACGAAAATAGCTTCTTTTACATCTTCTACGATTCTCATTATTGCCACAAATGTTGCAAGAGCTCTCGCAGATTATTTTTATCCTGAACTACATTGAATTGTAGTAACATTTCATAATTTATGTATGCTTTTGAAAGCATTCTTTTCAGCACATGTATGTAGCAGAACCTTGGCAAAAACATCATTTTCGTCCATCGCATTAACAATCGTCATCTAAATTCCCTGCATGAAAGTGGATGGATTGGGAAAGCTGAAAGTACGATAATATACTTTGATCCTGTCTAATCACTTTTTTAATTGAATCTTTGCTCATATTTTATTTTTCTGGAGAATCAATAGCAATTGATAGTATCGGTATTTGTTCGCTTGTACTTTCATTAATCGTTATTATATTTTTAACATCGGATACAAAAATAGATAAGAAATCTTTATTACTTATTGTATTTTCTTGTAACACTGAAATTACTTATTTCTTAGTAATGGTTTGTTAGGCTATTTTATTTTTATTTTAGTGTACTCTTTAAAATTGCGACTTTATTATTGAAACAGCCATTTTTTAAACTATGTCTGCATTCCATATTCAAGGTACTGCCCAGAAAATTAATTTCAACAATTAAAAGTCCAGATCAACAAAATATTTAACAATTATTTGTCTGGCACATCATGTATTGATTCTCCATCCAAGATAATAAAATTATTTATTTTAAAGTAGGCCTCGTAAAGTTTTGGTATAAGTAAATTCGTATCTTCAATAGTAAAGTTTTGTGCCATTATCATTGTCATATGCCATTGGTATAATTGTTTTGTCGTTTTTACTTCTTTCCCGAATTCTTCTTTATTCTGGCTTGTTTTATTACCTGGACCAATTTTACTTGCTGAGCTTCTTCGCTTTGTTGATATTCTTCTAACATCTGTTGACAAATTAAGAAAGTCACAAGTCTGTGAAACTAATGTTTAATCACAATTAACCCTGGTGGAGGCAAAAAGTTCAACGTTGTTGCTACAATAGCATAATTTATAGCAGAATATATTATAATGTATGTAGTTTAGGGGGTTCGTGCTAAGGATGGCGCATTCATGAAGAACGGAAGTTGCGTGATACGGAAATAACGCTAAGAAGCGCTGGCGCATTGTGTAGCCGTTCCACTTCTTCTAAGCTGTAGTAGACGCACATTCACACAGAAAAAATCATAATAAAGTATGACAACGCAACGGAGAGATGAAAGAAAGAAGTTTTATTCACCGCAATAGCATATAACACAGTACAATTATGTTACATTTACGACTTACGCATAGCGAATGGCGCTTACGTCACGTACGTTTTGACATTCATTCGCAAAAATGTTTTTGATTGACTGATTATAAACCAGGTTGTCAAATCAAATTCGACAGATTGCCATAGACTCGATATTTATTTATTCGATAGATATTGGAACGTGTCTATGGAACGTGCAACCGTTCCGAAATATCGGGAAAATAAAAAGAAGTCATACCGTGGTAAGAAACCTGATATTAGTGATAATCATTTAGTGAATAACTACGAGTCTTAAAATCTACATCGATAGATATTGCTTCAGAAATAACAAACATGAAAATACACAAAAATGTGCGTGGGAAATATCAGCACTGAATTGCCAGCTTATTCTCAAATTTCCTTTTTCTCATGATAACGGACAATTTGTTTCATCACTCGGATCTAATATCTCAATAAATGTTTGCTGATGGACATAATTTTCATCCGTACTGAAATTCTTCCATTGTGTATATACCTCAACGTCTTCAGTACCGAATAAATCACCTAAAGTAGGATAATAATTGTTCATTACAGGAGGCTAAACATCTGGGCCGAGTCGCATCTGCCAGACGTCGCTTATATTATCAAATATTCACATGGACAAATTGGGATAAAGCTTGAAGTTCTGGGTTGGTAAAAGTTTAAAAGCTTACGTTTAATTTTACATGTACGTTCGATATTAACACGTTATTTTCCGAAAAAAAAACACTTACCTTCATGCTCAGTTCAGCCGCGATGACTGCAGCAGTAGCAGGCCTTTCAGCAAGCGCGATCAACGTAGGTAGTAACGAGTGGCAATGAGGCTTTGCCACCAGCCAGTTGGCCGGTAGATTGCAGATGGTTCTTATCACGGACCAGCCATCGCAGATGGTTTCCTACAGGTTGGAGTTTATATATATTTTTGGGCGCCAAATGTCACATATCGTCATATACTATGAATACTATTCATAACAGGTCTATTAATAACGCTCAGATAAGAACTAACTAGCTAAACCTAGGGTGTTTTACTGCTATACCTCAAGAACTACTTATATTTTTTACCCCAAAAACATCAACATAGCCAAAACCAATTAGCTTCTAACAACACTAAAGTAGAAAGCGTCTTCATAAATTATTTATAGTAATGGTCAACTCCCCTATACATAGCACAATAATGGCCCAAGCACTCTTCCTTGAGGCACACCTGTGACCGTGAGAATTACATTTATCTGTATAGACGGAATAAAATAAAAAATATTGAAGAAAAACAACACATCGCTTTCAATAATTTTAAAAGGCGTAAAATAATTAAGGAGATGGGTACGATTAATTAATCAAACCTATTTTTTGATAAGTTTAATCAAAAGCCTTTGTTAGAACAAATTGCATATTATAGAATAACAAAATTATGTTAAATGGATTTAACTGAATTTATGCTGATTTCATACTTAGAGATTAACTTTAAAACAAAAAATAAAAATATCATCAAGGTGATTACTAATTTACACGCATTTACGAACGGACAACGGCACATCAGACTACACATTTTTGTTCGAAAATCGCCTCCAGTGCAACGGAACAAGATACGTCAATGTGTAACTTGAGTGCTGGCGTGTGTACATTCATCTAACATTATATTTTAACACCTGACGGATCTAATCAATAACTCCTAAAACCGCACATTTAAAACGGTATCTAAACTTTGCATCTACAACGAATAAAAAAGCGAACAAGTGTTCACTTTGCATTGTCTTAACCTGTCTTGGGACACGTGTTAACTGCAGGTGTATTGTACCCGCATGGGAATGAAAACGGTCAGCATATGACCTGCCTAATCATGTGTAAAGTACACTGAGCTACAGCTAAAGACATATTACAGTTTCAAAATTCTTACGTCATTTACATTACATAGCGTTCAAATGCAATGTATAGCTTGCTTGATTTATTTATTTATACATAACCCTATGCACTTACGGTTTCCCAAAACGTACATAGATTACAACACATCATTCTTATACAAATAAATTTTAAGTTATTGCTCGATTAATACAAACACAGACGACATTTTCTTTCCGGTGTTATCAAATAAATGTACATCTCGGGTGATGAGCAATCAATCAGCGCATTGGCTAACTGTGTGACTGTGTACGATATCGGTAGCTCAACATTTATGGTCAACATCATTAACTCATTATTAGTTTGGGCACAGGTCTCTTCTAACAAGAGGGTTTAGGCCATACTTTAGTCAGTAATGCGATTTGGGAACTACACACATTTTCCAAGGATTGTCAAGCCTATTCGACTGTCATCGTTAGCAGGAGGTATTGCTACTTAACATTCACCAACGTATGTAGCTTAGAAATTAATTTCACAGGTGCATACCGTCAGAAGGACTTGAAACCATCCTCTCAATGGAGAATGATCATTCTTCCATTAAGCTACCACGGCTCTCTCAAATGACGATAATTTATTTAATAGAGTGTAAAAATTGTACGAACATTACCCAAGTCGAAAATGTTTGCAGAAGGGTTGGAGAATCTTATTCGTATTGTGGCCAATGTCATCCCATAAAATTTCACTCGGAGTTATTACACCTATATTGTTACCTGTAATTGTGAGTTGCCGACGACCATGAATCCGACTAGAATGAGAAGATCCAACACCATCTTCTCCGACACCTTCTGGTCCAGCCGACTTTGACCTTAAGATTCAACACCAAGTTTCAGTTTTAGTTCAAATAACTAATTTGGCATATTTAAACATCTAACCGCTGAGACTAGTACATCTGTTATCGTGTAATGAATATAATGCTTATAGAATTACGTTTTAATGTTGTTCCTCATATTTGCGTTTAACATGGTGACCTTTGGCGTCAATCATCTCAAGTCACAAGTCGAAATTCAAAATTTGGGCTTCGTCACGACCCGCAGAATTGATTTTTATGCACTTTTTTTACGGTTTAAGAACTAGTAATTTCGTTCGCAGAAGGAGCAATTGTATAGTAGACGTCTAAAAGTTAAAAACAAACAAAAACAAGTCTAAAATGTTATTGCTAATTTTAGACTAATAGAAACCGATAGAGATTACGAAATTTAGATCTGTCAAAATATTGGTAATTACAGGATCTACACCAACATCGTTGAAATGTCTCTCTTGAATATAATAATACTGTAGAGGAAAAAGACTTAAAAAATGTGAAGTTGGAGACAGGTCTCCAACTTTACCTTGTCCCTATCAACAATTTTGGTTATACAGGCCTAATTTTGGTTATACAGGCCTAATTTTG